TATGAAATTAGTGAACACGTGCCAGTCTCTCCCAAACTTGGTTTTGAAGTCGATGCATCCCGCGCCGGGTCTTTCCTCGATGTGTTGTATGGGAATAGCCATGTTAGGCACAGTTATGAGGAGAACCATGAGCCACACGACCACCGACAGCGTCTTGGCAAAGCCCGGCTCCTGGATGCGGTAGATCTTAGAGCTGTGCATCAACTGCAGGCAGCGATCCATGCTCACAAATCCCAAAAATATGATTGACAAATACATGTTCAGATAGATGAAACAGGCTGTAACCTGGCAGTGGAATATTCTCAGATTCCAGGACGCAATTCCTAGGTCAACAATAATCTTCATTGGCAAAGTCAAAGTTAACAAGAAATCTGCAGTGAGGAGGTTGATTAAGTAGATGCTCATAGGCTTGTGTTTCTGATGCTTCTGTGTGAATGCCCACAGTGCGAAAAAGCTTCCAATAATTCCCATAAGAAAAATCAAGTAGTAAAAATAGGTAAAAGGTTCCATTTCTTCATAGATATGGCATTCTGAAATGTTGCTTGACATTGTAAACTCCTGTGTGAGTTGGCTTTGCTGACTTGAGGTATCAAGGACCTACAAAAAGAACCAAGAGGACATCATTGACATCTGCCTTTCCTAAGAGACAGCAATTATTCTCTTAGAATTTTGTTTGATTAATTTCAAGAAAAAATGCAATTAGGAAGAAATATTTTTCTCGCTCTTCGTGCTGCTTCCCAGATACTCAGGAGGGCTTTGTTCTCATGTTGGAAGACTTAGGAATATATTAGGATTTGTTCCTGAGCCTTCTGAGCAGCTTTTCCACTAGAGCAGCCTTTCTGGGAGGGCTTGGTTCGACACCCTCCCTCAGCCAAGGTGCCAGAGAAAAAGGTTTGAATCTATTTAAGCATCTAGTTAATAATGCTAAAACTTCATAACTTTCTTTTTTTTTAAGGATTGAAACTATGCCTATAAAAAAGTAATCTTTGTACCAGCCTTGTTCTATAAAAATGTGCTGGGAGTTCTGAGTGAATGCACTGGCAGACCAATATGTGCATATGTCTAATGGGTGAGCAAATGGTTCTGATCAGTCCTGAGGTTTGCACACTGCTCTCTCTTCCCACTTGAACAAATTAATCGTATGTTTTTATGAAACTTTTAGGAAAAGCACATTTTGAAAGAAGCAGATAAGTAATGTTGCTCACTACCTTTGTAGGCTTCACTAGAAATTAAAGGGAAGAAGAGTAAAAAATATTGGTCCTATTTCAACTAAATATATGACTCCATGACTGAGGGGCTTGTTTGTTTGCTACACTGCAGGCTGCTGCATAGAATGGCTGTGGGAAAAGCTGTTCCTTTGAATTTCTTAGAATGAAACCCAATACATTTATGTCTTGAGTAGCATCAGAATGCAACACTTCTATTTCTTTATATTGTTTCTAATTTTAATACATGATATAAGAGAACTACTGCAACTGCATGTATAATTTCTGCTGTAAAATATGTATCCAGATGTGCATAATTTGTAAAGCAAAATGATTGCAGATACTGCAGTGGTTTAAAAGGGGGAGGAAGCAGTTCACTCCTTGCAGTTGGCTTTCTGCAGGCCTCTGTTGTGCTGAGCACAGGTCTCTGGGTGGAATGGAGCGTGGTGTGTGTGGTGAGGTGAGGGCAGGCGGTGCTGGGCTCGCTGCTCCCCGGGCGCTGGAGTTCCTGCCCTGCCCTCGGTGCTGCCCGGATCGTCCCGTCCTGTGCGGGGCGAGGAGCCCCCGGCAAACTGAGCCCTGAGGGGCTGCTGGGCTGGAGCCCCCGGCAAAC